ATAAGTTAAACAAGACTGGACCCAGTACTGACCCCTGGGGGACACTGCTAGCTACAGGCCTCCAACTAGACTTGGCGCCGCTGATCACAACCCTCTGAGCTCTGCCAGTTCAGCCAGTTCTCAGTCCACCTCACCGTCCACTCATGTAGCCTGCACTTCCTGAGCTTGCTTATGAGGATGTCATGAGAGATCACGTGGAAGAGCAGCAGGCGGTAATAGTCAGAAGGGTGTATAAGCTTCAGCAGTCTTTCTATGACATCTCAGATTCGAGCCCCCGGCAGACAGCAAACCTCTCTAGACAAGTGGCCAGATTGGCAGACAGATGCTTCTGTCCCCTGCAGCAGGGAATCATCCACTATAATCACTTGCCGCTTCTTCTGTGTGTTTCTGTGTGGCACAGGGTCCATCAACCCAGTTGCTTCACTTGAAGCCATGCCTCAGCTTGGAGAGCACTGAACCCGTTTATCAACTGCAAGTCTTGAGGAGGAGCAAGAGCTTCCTCCTCATATGAGACATGACCAGTTTCCAGCCGTCATCTTCTACAGAGTTATGACTTACTGTGCCACATGGCACAGAGCCCGCCTACATCTCCACTGCTGTGGGGGACTGAGACTGTCGAAGCTCTAGGGTCTCTGAGAATATCCTCTCTATCTCATGCTCTTCTTGAATGCTATGCAGCCTGCTTACTTCCTCTCACAACTCCTTGACACAAGGTGACACAACTTATCAACAACAGCACACCTGCTGCAGAAAAGTTGACTGTCAGGCTCAGCCTCACAGATAGTCCCCAGGCACTCCCTGCAGCCTGAGACCTGCAGAGCTGCATCTGCCGTCAGAAGGTCTGTCTGGGTGGAAGTCTTTGACGTGGCAGATGGAGCGACTCCACCGGCTACTGGGGAATGTGCTCTGAGGCGTGCCGTAACCATATCTGAGGCAGTGTACATTACTGTGACTGGAGATGAAGACACCTTCTTTGCACCTTTCTGCATGAACTACTGCGCAAACTGCTGTGACTGTTGGCTGCCTCTGTTAGCTGTACTCTCTTTGTATACTCTGAGGAAGCTTGGTATGCCTGATTGATAGACAAATGGTTGGTGAACACCACACCACACTAGGGAAAAACATGAGCATCCCATATCGGCCATGTGGAAAGAGACATCACTGAAACCACAGCAAGCCAGCACTTGCAGTTCATCATCCTCACTGTCTTTAAAATCAGACTCATTCATTCTAAATCTCTTTGATATTATATTGCACCTCCTGCAATGAATGGGGTGTTTGTGCCTGTTCTCCTACCAGACACCTTAAGTAGAAATAACTTGACATATCTCAAAATGGATATGGATCCACACATGCTTAGCCCTCCTGGACTGCCCTATGGCAAGAACCTGCAAGAAGATATGCAGAAAAAAATCAACGTGAGCAGGCACACAAATGCTCATAACTATAAAGCGCTTTGAAATGAATGATCTGTTTTCTTTCAGCTTGACTTGTTTGTTCTCCCTTGTTCTAGGGACGATAGAGTCCAGCAGCTTGACGTTGGTGCTTTCAGTCACTTCTGAGCTAGGCAAGTGCAGCACTGTAGCACTTGCACCATGTGGGAGAAATAAAACATTTTCTGTGCTTGCAAAACTGAAGGAGCTGATGTTTTTACTCAGACTTGCAAAGAGTCATTTTGAAGCTGAAACACGGGAATTTTCAGCCCATAGGGGAAGTCTGAGCAGCTGAAGAGGGTGAGAGCTATGAGCTGGGAAATCAGACCTCATCCATAATAACAGTGTTCCTAATCTGCTCTTGTTGCTTGCCCCTTAAGAGCACTACTGCTTTGCACAATGCAGCGCTGGAAAGTTAAGGAATCAGTCAGAGTGGAAAAAGTGAAAATAAAAGAATCTCTTCAGCCTACCTACCTGATCTGTATCAATATGTCAGAACCTCCACCTCTGTTACCAAATCCCAGTACTGAAGCACAGAGTAAAATCATTATAATTGAAGCATGCAGAAGGAGATCATTTAGTATCATTCTGGCATTGCTTTTCTTTCTCCTTTGTTTGTTCTTCTGCCACAAACATCATATATCCATTTCTCTGCTCTGTGTAGAAGTGGATTGCATCTATGAAACACAGCCTTAAAATGCTGCTTGTGGATATCAGTGCGCTGGGACAGTACAAGTGAGAGCTGTGTGAAACTTTGACTTAGAAAGGAAATCTTTTTGTTATATTCTGGTGCTATCATTTTTGTCAATCTTTGTTACCAAAGATCAGTGGAACACAAGCAAACATATATCTACAACTATGCCAGATTGTACCTAGTTCCTTGCAAGATATCTCATGAGAATGCTTTATTCTGACCATTACTACAAAAAATTAATTTGAAGAACTCTTTAGTTTTCATGGTGCTGTAGCTCCATGAACCCACCAATAACAATTTCCCCCCAAACTGGTATAACAGTCATTGACAGTTATGTCATGACCAGACTCTGGAAAGCAGCCCTCCCCTTCTTTCCTTCCCTCCCCCCTCCCCCCCCCAAGTATTTTACATATGTTTAAATAAAATCCAGCTTAAGCTCTATATCATTCTCAGTTTACACTTTTTATGCAATCTCTAACAGTATCAGAAGGAATCAAGTGTGTTCTGTGTTTTGTCAATGGCCAAATCTGGAAGCGAGCAAATATACTCATCATTGCAGTTAACATACAATCTTACTGCAGCAAAAACCGTCCTATGCTAGAGCATGGGACACTGTAGAGATCTCTAGCTGCTGCCTCCACGGCTATGCTGGCCCTGCACTGTGTCCATCCCACAGTGCCTGATACTGGGTTTTGCGTGGCTGTGGTGTGGCCAAGAGTACAGCCTGCAAATGCCATGAGGACAGGGAAGCTTGTAGTGGCAGCTGCCCACTGCAGTGAGGGGCTAAATCCTTGGCCCAGCACCAAAGCCAACCCCCTTGCAAGGGCCACAAAATGCAGAGACGAGGCAGCTTCACTCAGTTTGTGGTCTTTCCACTAACTCCTCCCCATTTACTATTGTCATCCCTTCTTTGCGCTTTTCTATATTATCTCTGCCCCTTTCATGGCTAGGTTGCAGAGTGGACAGCAAATAGTTTCTAATTATGCCTGTCATCTAAGGCTGGCTACAGAACATGCTCTCCTGGCAATGACTGTAAGATATGACTTATGCAAGCTAAAGTGGTTTAAAATATTTCATATGTTAATTACAGTCATCAACTAATTTAAGTGAGAAAGCAGCTACCAGAGGTTCTGCAGCATGCTTTGTACTGATCAAGAGAAGGAGGTAGGATCCCTGCCTTCCAGCTGAGCACCTCTGAGGCATGTCTTGGTAAGCAGTTCTCATCTACCTGCTTTTGAGATAGTCTCCTTGGGCTAAACTGGTCCAAGTGAAAGCAGCCACACTGCAGATAAATGCTTGTGCTACAGGCTACTTTCCATACTACTGCACTGACTGCCCAGCTGGGTCACTGTTTAAGTTCTTTGTAAATACTTTAGAGGAGAATTTTTCTCTCCTTGGTGGGCAAGAGTCGTGGTAGACTTACAATACATCAGCTAAATCACTGCTGGCTAGAGGTACTCCTGGTTCCCTCGTCCACACCCTTGGAATGAAGTATGCTCTCTTCTAGCACTACTGCAACCCACCACATTCACACTGTGGAAGAAAGGAGCTGCGATGGGACATTAGAGATGGTGATGGGCATTCGGGGAGCTGCTTGGTGCTATGCAGACATGAGGAGGCTGTGTTGGGCTGAGAGCACAGAGGCTGTGTACAGGACTGTAGAAGAAAAGGCTGCTGATGTAGGATTTAACGCAGCAGTGCCCAAGCATTTTTGCTGGTAAACCCCCATCTCTCTGCTCGTATTCCAGACCTATGGCAATCCTGGCTGGCCTGTCACAGAAATGCTCTACTCCTGTTGGGAATCAGGTGGCCAGGACTGGGAATGGCTATTTTAATATCAGAGGAAAGTGATTATGCGAGCAACCTGGGCAGAAGTGGGAGAGACTAACACTTGTTTTTAATGTTTTTTGCTCAGATGGACCATCCCAATCAGTGTCTCTGCACCAGAGCTCAGAGCACTCTGTCTGCCTTGTCACACTGAAACTCCCCCAGTGGGTCCAAAGTACAGTCATCCTCTGCCTGGAGTTTGTTCTGGCCCTGCGCCACCTGAACACCCTGATGGGGAAGATTGGAGGGTCAGAGTCGGATTGTAATTGTTATGTGATGGCTATTTCGTGATCTTCCTTGTCTCCAGCTGCAGCATCCTTGGCAGCACTGAGTAATGTCTCAGCTGCTCTCTTTGCCAATACACCTTGCAATCTCCTGAGAAATCATTTCATGCGATCCCTCACATTGCATGACATCTTTACAGGTCACTAACCTTTATTTTATGCTTAGAGCAGGAGGTTGGATTAGAGGACCTCTGGAGGTCTGATCTACACGATGCATGACTCTGATCATAGCCACTGTTGCATGCATTATATGTGTGGACCAGTCTTCTCAACTTATTCTAATTTAAAAAAAGAAATCCTTGTCTACACAGGGAAATTTTTTTAGAAAAATATGAAATCCAACTTCAAATTGATGATAGCTGTACCAGTACCACACCTTGTTCAGGCACGTTGCTAGCATAACAGCAGCTTTTCTTCGATTAGATTAAGGTAGGTCTATTCCCTTCACCCAAGCCCCTGTTTTACCACAACCACTTCCTACATGTGGAGGCACACGACTCCCTGTTCATCTGATCAAAGACTGGGAGGCAGGGATGGTATGATCTCCTACACCTGTGAAAAGCAAACTCTTGTTTTCCCATGGACATGTGCAGAGCTGTGGGCTGGAAAGAGGGGGCTCATGAATCACTGCTCTTATGGTAAGCACTATCACAGGACACATAGAGCACAGTAGGCTGCTGGGCTAGTGAATCATATTCCTAACAATCCACAAAATGTGACAGGAGAATGTGTTTGGAGAAAGCACTGGAGAGAAGCACCAACCTGCGGTTGCAGCCTGAGGGCTCCCATAGTTCGTGCACCACAGGAAGCCACCGCCACGGGCATTGCCCTCCTGCTTCCCTGCTCTTTGCAGGGATGGCCAAGCCACAGGATCTCTCTTATCTCTCCCAGCTGCAGTGAGGGAGCTGCTTTACTTTGTACTGCACTGGAAAGCAAAGAGCAACTTAATGCTTTCGTGGCATTGCATCGCTCTGTCAGATTTAGCGTAGCAACACAGGGCTTCCTGACATGGGAAAGCACCTCTCAGAGCACAGGTGGGTTGTAACAGAGATGCAGAAACAGCTGGAGGTTGCTGCAGCAAATTAAATATGCTGAAACACAGTAGACAGTTTTATATGCTCTTTTAACTCCATTAGATGTCCATATTGGAATAGTTTATTGCTGGATTCTATACAAAATGAAGAGCCAAATCTCTGATTCAGGCTTTGTGGGGTGCTTTTCACAGGCCTTGGTATAGAAGATACGTCCAATAGGAGTTGGTAGGAGCAGGAAATTTATGCTGGAGGCTTTCCCAATCATGTTAGCAGCCTTGATTGAGGAGAGTGGCATGGTCTTCCTCCCACCACATTTTTCTTAGTTTTGAGTACTGCCCTATGCCTCAAGGCTGTCTCAGGTATGTGAAGCCTAGAGATGCTGATGAGCAGTGAAGAAGCAGCTATTGCATGCCCTTATTCCCTTTTTTTTTTTTTTTTGTCATGTTGGCACTGCCTGTGCACTTAGTAGGAAATACAAATACAATCCAAAACGGTATAGCAGTTCTGTGAGGACTGTTCAGCAACTCATCCTCTCAATGTGTGTGTAAGAGGTACTCCATGTTTTGAATCAGTATGATTTGCTTCTCACCTAGCGATCTGCTGAAGCAGCGTTGTTTAAGGAGAAGACAATCCCGCTGTGATTGCTAGCAGGAGGCTGGCTGCACACTCACTTTGGTGGAGGCACTACTAACCGCCTCATCCATTGTGGTGTGGCAAACACATGCTTGGGCTGATAGTCCAAGGAAAAAGATGCAGTTCAGGAGATTCTTCATGCGTGCCACACGCCTTTTGCAGTGGTTGCAGGCAGGAATGTCTGTGCCGCTTCTCACACTCCCTTGTGTTGAGGTGATGCGGATGTACAGGCACTCACCTTTGACGGACAGTTACTTTTGGATGAACTTGCTAATGGCTGTAGTTATGTCACTCTTGGAGCTGATCTTTGCGATTCCTGAAAGATCCCATTAACACTGCATTAGAATTCTGATGGCTTTCATTCACTGAATTATTTAATTACGTGAATTTTTTAAACATATCAGAATACCTTCCAAGTTAAGTGTCACCTCTTAGTCTTCTATGAGAGGAGTTGACCTTGAATATGCTTCAATAGGCTGTTCCAGCCTTACTTTCCTCTTCACACACTTTCTGCCTAAGGCAGTCAGCCTTGTGCCTTCAGAAAAAGGCTGCATTGAGGAAAAGCAGCATGCTAAGTGGTTTTCTTTTTTGTGACTTATCCAAGTGCCTGTGTGTTCCCACATGCTGTGAGTGGATAACAGCAGTCCTCAGTCAAAGTTAAGATTATTAATGTTCTTTCCTGTAGAAAATTTAGTACAGATACCAAAAAAAAAAAAAAAGTTAATGATGTTGCTCTACTACTGATCTTACTGTCATGTCTTCATCCCCACACCCCTGTGTGGTATTATGATATTAACTGGTTATTCCAGTCTATAGCTCCGTTGAAGCTGAGGTAAGACAACTTTATCTGATATCTTACTATAATTATGAGACTGATGTAAAAAAAAAAAAAAGGGTGTGTAGACAACAACGCAAAAATCAAAGTACTTCAGACACTGTGTACCTCATCCAGTGACACTGACAATTCAGCTCTCTTCTCGGAATTATCAGCACAGAGCATTTGCCTGTCCTCTTGAATAAATATTTATAACAGTAAGTTTTGGCTACAAAATTTGGCTACAAAAATGCTACATGCATTTCCTCAGAACTAGAAGCTGTTGAAATTATTGAATTATTGAATTATTGAAATTATTACGGATATTGGAGCAATCTGAAAAAAAAAATTGAGCAACTACAGCAACCTCTCGTGCTTCGGGTTGCCAGCACTTCAATGTCTGCCTGCAACTCAGACAAATACAGACAATAAACCATTAATTCTCCTCTTCTAATTGTGTTCACCCTAGGGTCTTCTGTGACTCATAAATTATGACTACTTTTTAGTTGTAATCTGCTACATTTTTTTTGTCAGTCTAAAAGGGCAGAGAGCTGATTCCCTTTACTTATATATTCCTAGTCTCCTACTGAACACATTTAATTTATGGGAACAGAGGAACTAGAAAATGGGATGGCATTAGAGTTTCATATATTCAGTACAAGGTCATTTTTAGTTGAGATAGATGAACTCTGATGGATTATACAGGGTTGGGTTATATGCCCATGCCTGACACTGATGTAGCGATGAGTAGTTTGCCCAAGTTACTGTAGCTCGTTATCTGAAAAGATCTTATATTAGGCACTTGAAACCACTCTTGGTATTTAGCTAAAAATAGTCAGTTTTGGAGGGGTGTTCATCAGGTATGGGTCACTGTCTAACTTACTCTATCTGTATGGCAAGGCAGCTAAAATGATTGCTTGTTGAGCAGTCTGGGAAAGATTCACCCTTTAGGAGAGTGCCTGGTCTGTGACATACCGAAGCCTTCAGCAGATAGGTGAACTTCATCCTCCAGGTGCATCAGATCCAGTCAAAATCCCATGGACTGTTTCTAGCACCTTGTGGCTCGTTAGAGAAAGATTAGCAAATTGCTTCTTCCTGCAAATTTACTTTCAAGGTATAGGTCTATCCCAGGGCTGTCCTCCTGAGCATCTTGGATGCTGTCAGCACGCCCTTGTGTATGGTACCTGCTCTTACCTGGGTTGTATGGGAGATTTATTGTTACATTGGCTCAGGTTCACAGACATGCAAATACGTGTCCTGTTGGTTTCACCCCTGAATAGTCTTTTACAGGACTAATCCAAAGCTCTTGGACGCTAGTGGAAAGATTTCCATTTTTCCCTAAATTTTGGAAAAATCTCCTACAAAGCCCCAAATTCGCAAATCTCAGTTTACCCAGGACTTCCCTTTTGTTGAATTGGAGCCTTGCTGCAAATATAAACCTAAATTCAGAAAATCTTAATACAGGCCTAGCACTAAATATGGGAACACTTCTGGAGGGAGTTGCTGGAGCTGTTGCCATGCTGAAGGTTAGAAGGTGGCTGGTGAGCCACCTCAGTCACATTCCTGTCAGCGGCCAGCATGGCTGTAGGTTCAAAGGCTAAGGGGCCACAACTCAAACGTGCAAGGTACTGCAGAAACAGATGCAAGGCATGGCCCTTTCCCAAAGACCTAACAGTTCTGGGTGTGTTTGTCTTAGTAGACAAAAGGGGACCTAATCCAGTGTGTCTGATTAGGCACCTCAAAGGTACTTCTTGCCTTAAATTTATCTATCTGCACTGGAATAAAAGAGAGTAGAATGAAAACTGCTATTATCAGCACAGTTTGACATTCCTGGTGCATTAGCACATGAAGTGATATGGTGACAGAGTAAATAAGACACGAATTACTCAAAAAAGCTTTTACAACAAATGCTAGGATGCATCCATCTCAAAGGTGACCTGTAATTATTAACAATTTGCAAAAAAAACCCAATCACATAAAGGAAGATAAGAGTTACAATACAATTATTGCAAATGCGTCAAATAATGAAGTTAAAGAAGTATTTAGTGTAACTGGCTCCAAATATGCCTTTTCATTTCCAGCTAACACCCTGTGACATCTAGGCTGGCCGTATATTAGCAGCTTGTAGCAAATGTCTCGGCTGTAGCCCTCTGCTTTTGCAAAGGCAGCACAGCTTTCCTGTTGAACCCAACCGTTTTTGTGAGTCCTTCAAAAATGCCTGACTTTGTAGCATTTCTGAATGTCCCATATTCCGAAGCTGGATGTTGTCCAGCTGTGGCAGCCATCCCCTCATTACACTTCGTATCTGTGTCCCATTGGTGATTTAATTTTACCATACCACCTTACAAGGTATCACTTGAGCAAAAAGCCAGCAATCTGCCCCGGATGCTGAACATCCAGATAGGCAGAAACAGGCCAGGTTCTGTTGGTCTGTGAGCCAGATTTTACGGACAGGTGTGCTGGCAATAGCACACACTAGTCCCGATGAAGTCTGGATTAGGATTTCAACATTTTGACAGAATTTTAAATCGCTTTTATTGCCAGCCTCATATTATACCCATCAAAGCCAGTGATTTATTTAATTTAGAACAACATCATTCAGAGTCTCGTTACCCACAGAGTGTACTAAATCTGGAACCACAGTAAAGGTCACTTGAAATTTATTTCATTTTTTCTTTTTATTTTCAACAGTCTTCTATTCAAAATAATTGGGAGCCAAGCATAAATGCTGATTGTCAAAACTATCTAGGGGATTTAATCACACAGCTGTGCACCTAAATCTCCTCAGCCTGTCTCAACAGTATCAAACATAAGATGTTAAATCAGAAGCAGTGTTTCCAATTATAGATGGAGAAATGGAAGAGGGCGCACGAGGGAGGCTGAGTTAGAAATTAAGCACAGGTGTGAATACTGCACTGAAGGCAACTGATTGAGAGATTGCACTATGAATGGCGGCATGGAGGAAGTAGGGATCTATTTGGATCTGAGAAACCCAGATGGCCTTGACTATACCAGGCTTTCTTAAACTCCCAAAGAAGCGTGCACTAGGGCAGCAGCTCAGCTCTTAAAAACGCAACGTGTTTTGCACCTGAGCACTTTGGAGTTTGACAATTTTACACGTTTGGAAATACAGGAGGATGGCATGCTCAGCTTTTCGAACTACAGTTTTGACCTGAAGAAGTAAGAGCTGAGACACAGAGCTGACTATTTACTTATTAAGCTGAAATCAACACATTGGAGCTCCCTTTCCTCCCTGAGACCCATTCTCAAAGATTTGCCGGATTATTTTGACATGTTTTCGCCACTCTGAGGATTTTAACTTCAATTGTTACAATACCTTTTAGCTTGGAAACATTGGGGGGGAG